AGCATGTCTGGCCTGGCAGGAATAGGCCTTGGGTTACTGCTGGTAATCCTGTCTTCCTCTTGTGGGATTAGAGGAGGTCAGAACATGTGGCCTCCTTGCCGTTTTTGCAGATGGTGAAATTAGGACATTTCCAGAGAAGCAGAAATTAAGGGAATTTGTTAAAACCAGACCAACCTTACAAGAGATGCTAAAGGGAGCTCTTTGGACAGAGAAACAACAACAGCAAACAACAACTGACCATTAACACACATGATGATATAACCCAGAAACCAACCCAGCTATGAAAGTATCCAAAGTAAATAAGCCTACAGGATTGTAAACAGGGAACCAGAGACACCAACCGACAAAGAAGGACAACTACAAACCAAAAAGAAGGAATAAACAGTGTAGTTACAGAACTTCTAAATAGTGAGGAAGTCGAGACAATTGCAAAATAGAACGGACAGTTCTAAACTTGGGAAGAAAATCATAAATCACAGGATCATCTCAAAGAAAAATAATAAACCTTCACATCAAAATTAAAAAAAGATGTGTAAATATTTAGCAAATACTAAAACAAAAGCAACAAAAGGAAATGACAACATGATTCATAAACAAAAGGAGCTCAGCACAGAAAATTATATGGAACAAATAAATTAACAACACCACACACACAAAAAAAATAACAAAATGACAGTAACAAATTCATACTTACTGATAATTACACTGAATGTAAATGGATTAAATGTATTGCAGATGGAGAGTTGCAGACTGGATAAGAAAACAACATATCACTACACTGTCTATAAGAAACACATCTTAGAGACAAAGACAAAAATAAACTAAAAATCAAAAGTTGGAAAAAGATATATCAAGCAAATGGCAACTGAAAAAGAGCAGGAGTGGCAATATTAATTTCTGATAAAATTGACTTTAAGACTAAAACCATCATAAGACACAAGGAAAGACATTATATAATGACTAAAGGATCTACGAAGAAGACATAATCATAATAAATACCTATGCACCCAATGAGAGAGCCCTAAAATACATAAATCAGACTTAACACAACTGAAAAGACAAATAGATGACAACACTAATAGTAGGGGACTCTAATACACCACTTTCAATGAAAGATAGAACAACTGGAAAGAAAGTCCACAAAGATGCAGAACTAAAAAATACAAACCACCAACTTGACCTTACAGACATCTACAGAGCACTTCACCCAACAATAGCACAATACACATTCTTTTCCAGTACACACGGAATGTTCTCCAGGATAGACCATATGTTAGGCCACAAAGCAAGCCTTAATAAATTTAAAAACACTGACATACTGCAAAGCATCTTCTCAGATCACAATGCTATAAAATTAGAAATCAACAATAGAAGATCAACAGTAAAAGAACAAACACATGGAAACTGAATAACACCCTCCTTAAAAACAACTAGGTATTAGAAGAAATGAAAAACGAAATTTAAAAATTCCTTGAACCAAACAAGAAGAAAATACAACATACCAAAATCTTTAGGACACAACGAAAGCACTGATCCAAGGGCAATTTATAGCAATAAATTCACAGATCAAAAAAAGACAAAAGAGCCGCAATCAACACCTTAACCCAACATCTCCAACAATTAGAAAAAGAGCAGCAAATAAAGCCTACAGTCACCAGAAGAAAAGAAATAATAAATCTTCGAGCAGACATAAATGAAACAGAAAATAGAAAGATGATAGAAAAAAATCAACAAGACTAGAAGTTGGTTTTTTGAAAAGATTAATAAAATTGGCAAACCACTGGCAAATTTAACAAAGGAAAAGAGGGAGAGAATACAAATACAAGTAAGAAACGAATTGGGCGACATCACAACAGACCCAACTGAAACAAAAAGGATAATATCAAGATACTATGAAGAACTATAC